TTTACAAACCCCCAAACCCATATGCACTTCACCCATACCCAACCCATTGTGAATGGATCTATTTGGATTTGGGTATAATTACTCATGGGTGGGTAATTGCCATCCCTACTCCAGCGATGTGTCGATGGGATACGATTGGCTACGAGGATCGTGCAGTCGAAGAAGTTTACGAAGATCTTGAAGTGTGATTGGGAGGCCAGGGAGAGGATTCTGAATGCTAGTGTTCATGCCAATGTTAACTTGGTTCCCAAGCATCCCAACGACACCAAGTCGATCGAGCAGTTCTGTAGGGATACCGTGATCACGATCTGGCATTACCACGGTGGGTGTCATGTGGGGAAGGTTGTGAACTCGGAGTACAAGGTTATCAGGGTGCGTAGGATGAGGATTGTGGACGGGTCGGTTTTCGACGAGTCGCCTGGGACTAATCCCCAAGCTACTGTCATGATGATGGGAAGGTATGAGATCAAATTTGCTCTTCGCATCGTAGTTTTCTGCATGTGTGTACCTCGACTGAATCGATGTTTTATGGGGGTTTGTCTTGCAGGTACATTGGGCTGAAGATTTTGGAGGACAGATTGGGAAAAGGAGCTGCAGGTGTGTGAAGATCAAATGATCTCTTCTATGGCACTATGAGGACTAGGGTTCATTCATGAGAATTGTAGCTGAATAGAGGGTTTAATTGTGATGTAGGTTATTATTAATGTGTGTTGTGTGTCATAGGTATTTGTAAGGGGGAATGGATCAGGTGAGTAACCTTATGGTGAGTAACTATGAGTAACCCGCCCACATCAGCATGACATCAGCATTCTCTCTCTCCTGGAAAGCCTTTAATTTTCTCCTCCTTAATCTTTGACGGACGATTTCTCACTCGTTTTAAGTCGAAATTTAATTTTGTTTGCACAGTTAGATCAGATTAATTGTGCTCTTCAAAATGATATCCACTTTGATATATTTTTCGAGCAAAAAAAATTGAGCAATTTTTTACCAGTCTATACCATATGGTATTGACTGGTATTGAAATAAGAGCATACCTATGGTTTGAAAAGCGTACCATGGTGGTATGAACAAACCAAGACTGTAGAATGATTGAATACATGATAGTAGAAGTATATTAATTGTCATTTACGACTTTTAACATTGTATACCATAAGATACCATAAAATACCACCCCGTACTAGGGTGGTATTGTATGGTTTGAAAAGTGTACCATGGTGGTATGAACAAACCAAGACTGTAGGATGATTGAATACATGCTAGTAGAAGTATATTAATTGTCATTTACGACTTTTAACATTGTATACCATAAGATACCATAAAATACCACCCCGTACCAGGGTGGTATTGTATGGTATTGTGTGATATTTTTTGGTCTTGTAATTTGTTCACCCAGAAATTTGTAGATCCAATAGATCATGATGAACTCGTCCCTGCTGTGCAAACGTTTTCAAAAACGAATGAAAAACGAAGAAGATACCATATGGTATGCAGTTGGTACCGAGAGGCCAGAATATTTTTTTCCTAAAAAAATATTGAAAATTGATCTCATTTTGTAGAGCACGATGAACTCGTTCCATCTGTGCAAAAAAAATTAAAATCTGAGTTAAAACGAAAAAGATATGAATCAATTAAGAAAGCTAGTGAAAATAAAAATGACCTTTAATTCTCCATCCTTAGATCTGGATTTTCTAAATGGAGGGTCCAGATTTGGTTATTGATAGGTGCGTAACCATGGGTTATGCACCCTATCTTGAGCCTTTGTAAGGTGTAGAAAAGTGGGAAGTCCGGAGAATGTTCTGTATCCTTAATTTCATAATTTGAGTAACTGGTATTGGTCTACTGCAGTAAGAACTGTGAAATTAGTTGAAGGAAAGTGAAGCATTATGAATGTAATGTCCTGTCCTTTTTGCCTTTGAACACAAAAAAGAAAGAAAGACTTTGAGGGTCAACCTTGGAGACAAGGTTGATTTCGAGGGGGAAAGATTGATGAGTGGATTTTTTGGATTGGGCTTAGGGCTAGTAGGTGTTGTTGGTTTCCTTTTGGGTTTGGGTTTTCGTAGGCGGCACGGTAAAGGTAGCCGATTAGGAATGGGTTTTCGGGTAGCATTAGGGTAGCGTATTAGATTTTCTATTCAATAAATATGTAAGTTCTGTGGTAGTCCGGTTTATCGAATAATAAAACTAAAGGTTTATCGACACCAACGTCGTTCTCTCGCTTGTGAGCTACAAGCAACTCCCGAACCGAGAGCGTCGGTTCATCATTTTACCAGGAAAAGGATTCGAACACGCCCACATTCTTCTTCTTAAAGAGTAGTAGCCGATAGGATATTTTGTGTTGAAATCATGGTTCAACCGTTTCATACCATTAAAAATAGCCTATCAGTTTAGGTTTCGAGGAGGTTCTTTTATGTATGCAATTAGGGCTGGAGATCGGTCAGTTTCGGTTTAACCAAAAACTGAATTTTTGGTTAACGGTTAACCGAAACACCTCCCTAACCTACCAATCACCGACCGAAAGAGGGCTCAAGGCTTCGGTTACCGAACCACCTTCAAAGACCAAAACCAAAAGCATCTCACCCAGCCTCCGAAGATCGACCGACTTTCGGTTAGTGGATAACTGACCGGTTTTGGTTGTAACCGATCGGTTAACCGCTAACCGAGAACCGATGGTCCAGCCCTATATGCACTTGGGATTAGGGCATATATGATTTCATGTTCCTATCGCATATCCATGTAGATGCATCACTTAATTTTTCAATTTTGTGTCGGTTTTAACCGATGGTAAGTATATGTTAACGGTTAATCATAACTAGCGACAAATTAGTCGTCACTAAATATTTTTATCTCATGATTGATCGACAATGAAGTTTAATGTGGATTAAGAATCGACAATAAATTGTTCGCCAGTAAAACTCATAAGATAGATCGCCAAAATGACCAATGAAAAGTAAAATTAATCACCACGATATTATATCTTTATTGACTTCATGATTCGTCCCCAATACTTTTCAATGAGTCACAAATTCCTTGAAGGTTTAAAGCCACCGCATCTTCGCAATGATGCTTATGTCACTAAATGTGCCTAATGGTTGCTAAAAGTAGAGTTCTCATTCTTTGTGCCTGTAATCACAATAAAATAAAAACTCGTCCAAAAACTATTACTACAATTCTCAATAAAAATTCATTCACAAAGCAATTAATTCCTACTCAACCTGATAATCTTTTAGAAAACCATTCATGTTATAAATCCGAAGTAAAACCTTTCACAATACATCACAAAATTCAAATATCAATTTCAAAGAAATTACATGACTATAACTACAAGTAAATGTTAGTTCAATGGTACTAATAAGTATTCAATGCAAAATTTATACCTTGTTCAAACACAAAACATACGAGATGAACCAACTATTGTTATATGAAAAAATGTAACAGATAATATAATAATTCATCAACCCATCCAAATCCATAGAGAAACAAAGGGATGGACCAAAATAGTCACATAACATAACAGAGAGAACACTCCACATGAATTTACTAAGGCAAAAATATACTCGCGATTTAAATTATTAGAACCCAATAGTTACAGGAAAAGGGCCGACATTGCCAATATTCAAAAGAAAATAGCTGCATGTATTTTATCATCCAATGCGGAACAAGCTTTCTTTGAAGACATTCCAGCGCTCGAGCATGCAATTGGGTATCAACAACTTACACTCTCGAGTAGTCATATCAAACAATACCATATCCTTACGAGGACCCGAAGTCTGAGCAACAAGTTGACCATCCTTCCAACACCCTTGCACATGTAATTGTTCAGGGAGAGGGTCAAGGCTTGAATACTTCATCCAATACCATCCCCCACCACTTCTACTAAGCAACCACACTTCCACACTCAAACTATCCAACTGCCGAAACAGAGCAATCGACGAATCACCGTACACGCTAAGATTGCAGCTCCAAGAAGCGCCGAAAGGGCAGTTTATCTTGTGGAAAACATCAGTCGCCATGTCGAACGCCACCACGAAAATCCCATGGCGATCCATAGAGAGACGGTAGAGAAACCCTTCAAAGTATGTACACCACCTGAACATGCTGTGGGTCAATTCTCGCTTTTCCTGGTACGGGTACCTTTCGGGCAGCTCCCTCCAGCAGTTACTTCGCAATGTATATACAAAAACCGGTGAGGGGTAACCGAGGTAAGGTGGGAGGACATTGTAACGAGGACCACGATATACATAGTTACGAATCAGAACGACTTTGATATCGTCATCGGTTAGCCCAATTCCACAGTAATCAGAGTAGTGCCAGAGATAGTGATGCAGAGGATGAGATGGGTCGAGCTCCGGAGCCAGAGGTGGGTCGGGAAGTTGCCTGATTTCTCGCGTTGCTGGGTTCCATAAGTGGTAATGACCAGATTGGAACACATTTGGACCGCCGAGAAGTAACACGCCGTTGCCGGCGCCGCAGACGAGCCTCGCGAGATCGCCGGTAGCCAGAGTGGTCGGCGGTTGGGCGGGATCATCATCTTCAGGGGAAAGTGAAACCAATCGCGTGCCACGCTCGTGGTAGCTGCACAAGAGGGAGGCCCTGGTGTAGTTTTTGAGGTGCGTGGAAACGAGGTACGGACTGGTTGGAATCATGGCGTCCCAAGTTGTGCAGACGGACTTGAATCGGAAAAGGGTTTTCACAGGAATTCGAGACAGAATCCCGATCACGACATCCAGAGGCAATTCGCCAGATTCTACTGATTCTAGTTCTATTCCCATACTGGAAGGATAGTGCACCAAGAAGAAGAGAGCGATTATTGGTCCCCCGCTACGGATTAGGTTAGAAGAATTTCAGGGCGACGATGCGGCGGAGAGTCGATGATTTCCGCCACGGATTGCTCTCCCTGAAACAAATCAGTGTTTATTATTATTATTATTATTATTATTATTATTATTATTATTATTTTTTTGCATAGTTCACTTCCAGGCCACCGACGATTAATTGTGTTTGGGCCCAAAGCCCGTTAATAGAGTGATTCTCGTCATTGGAATTGGATATCCACACATGAGAAGGGAGGAGCTACGGTGCTAATTGTACAATAGTTAGCACCGTCCTAACCAAGGGAAAAACTACTACTAGTTTGAATTAGTAGTGATTTAGCTTAGATGTTGTATTGATTTTATAATAATCCGTAGTGATTTCGTTGTTTTTAGTAGCGTTTTTTGCTAGTTATCACGGTGCTAACTCCTATAAGGGTTAGCACCTAATCTCATCCCCACATGAGAATGATCGTCTAGATATCCTGTAAGTGATAAAGATTAACTGTGTTTCTGCATAGTTCACTTCCAGCTCCAGGCCACCGACGATTAAATGTGTTTGGGCCCAACACGCTATCCTCCCCGGTCGATTTCACTCAGCCTCGAAGCCGAACCCGGTCAACGGCGGCTGATCAATCTGCGCAAGCAGGTAGATGTCCTCTGCGGTGGCGGCAGGGGAAACGGCCTGTCTCTTCTCGGCAATTCATGTAGGCGCTAGGGGTGGCTATACGGTCCGGTCCTGTTAAATTGGCC